AAAAATCTTCAATTTCCTCATCTTTGGCTTCAGTGGTTGGTGCATAAATTTGAATAATAGTAGTATTAACTGGTCTTCCTCATAGATGCATGGATATTATCCTATCACTGACAGTATTGTATCTCAAGACAGATCTTGAAACATCTTTTGTGATGATGAATGCCATGCCATTCCTCTTCAAATTGTCATTCCCAGCATTGTAGATCATATGGTTGTCTGATTCAAAATGCCCAAAACCCATCCATTTCAGCTCACTAATGCCTAGGATATTGATCTTCATATTGATTCTTTCTCTTTTGATAACTTATAATTTTCCTCAATTCGTACTTCATACATTCCATATTCCAATTATTAATGGATGTTTGCAGCTGTTTCTCCTCAGTTTGAGTTGTGCCACCCCAGCAAATGGAGGTCTCAAAAGCTTTACTTTTTCCATATCAGTAAGGTTGATTTGACTCTGATGATGCAGCTCTTTTGTAGTTGTACTTTGAGAGACTTCTGACCTAAGGGGATTATCCTCTTGCACTCTATCAAACAGGGTTTCAGGGCTATTCATAAAGTTGCTCAGTAATGTATCAGACAGTGTTTCTCTCCTATTCATAAGGTTTTCCCTGGCCAATTCTTTGAGAAGTGAATGGCCTCTTCCTTCTTCCTAGTCTATCTCAGTCTGAAAGCTGTGTTGAAACCTGTGCACCATGTGCAAACCTGTTGGCATTTGAAACACTGGTGGTACAGCCTCAAGCCTCACACCAGCATGCAAGCTACCACAGTATGACAAACTAACAGGTAAGTTTGCCTCACTTAGCTGTTCGAAACCTCTCTGCTTCCTCCTCTTGGGGGTGGGGCCTGTGTCCCTCCCCTTACCTGAGATCCCTGCCACTGCTCTGTCTGTGGTCCCCTGGCTTCTCTTTTCCCTGCTTCTATCTATCCAATAATAATTCAGAAATGATTGCATCAGTACATTGACAGAACTCCCAGAAATTCAAGCCAGCTTCAGAAGAGGGCATGGAACATTGCTGAGGTCATATGAATCTTGGCTGAAAGCAAAGAATACTAGAACGATATTTACCTGTGTTTTATTGCCTAAGCAAAGCCATTCAACTGTGTGAATCATAACAAATTATGGATAACATTGCAAAGAATGGGAATTCCAGAACACTTAATTGTGCTCATAGGAACATGTTCATAGACTAAGAGTCTGTCATTTGAACAGAACAAGGAAGTACTGTGTGGTTTAAAATCAGGAAAGGTGTGTGTGTCAGGGTTGTATCCCTTAGTCATACTTACTCAATCTGTACTGAGCAAATAGTCCAAGAAGCTGGACTATATGAAGAAGAACACAGCATCAGGATTAGAGGAAGACTCATTAACAACCTGCAATATGCAAATGACACAACCTTCCTTGCTGAAAGTGAAGAGGACTTGAAGCACTTACTGATGAAGATCAAAGACTACAACCTTCAGTATGGATTACACCTCAACATAAAGAAAACAAAGATCCTCAAAATTGGATCAATAAGCAACATTATAAGTGGAGAAAAGATTGAAGTTGTGAGGGATTTGATTTTACTTGGACCCACAATCAATGCCCATAGAGGCAGCAGTCAAGAAATCAGATGACAACATATTGCATTAGGCAAATCTGCTGCAAAAGACCTCTTTAAAGTATTAAAGATCAAAGACATCACTTTGAAGACTAAGGTGTGCTTGACCCAAGTCATGGTATTTTCAATAGCCTTATATGCATGTGAAGTTGGACAATGAACAATGAAGACCACAGAGGAATTGATGCATTTGAATTGTGGTGCTGGTGAAAATTCTGAAAATGCCATGGATAGCCAGAAGAATGAACAAATCTGTCTTGGAAGAAGTACAACCAGAATGCTCCTTAGAAGAATGACCAGACTTTGTCTCACATACTTTGGTCATGTTGTCAGAAGGGACCAGTCCCTGGAGAAGGATATCGTGCTTGGTAAAGAAGAGCTAAAAACAGGAAGACCCTCAATGAGATGGATTGACACAGTGGCTGCAATGATGGACTGAAGCATAGCAATGATTGTGAGGATGGTGCAGGACTGGGCAATGTTTCATTCTGTTGTAGATGGGTCAGTATGAGTCGAAGCCAATGTCATGGTATATAACAACAACAACTTCTGTCTATCTATTATCTGTCTGTCTATATATCTATCATTGGCATTGTTCCTATGGTATTTGGCTGTGTCTTGAAGCAGGACACGTCTCATGCCAAGGGAATGAGGACACTTGGTGCTCTGTGCAGGAGCTATGGGCTGCACTAGAGTCCCAAGTTGCAAGAGTACATGGGACTATCACATTTGACTCATGGAGTACATGCTTTGTTTGGTAAAAATCTTTCTGGGGAGAAATCTAGCCATATGTATCAAAACACTTCTGCCTCTAGGAATTCAGTGAAACATGAGTGAAGACTTATATACCTTGATGTCCATGACAGCATTGTTTATAATACCAAAAAAATTTAAAGTAACATAATTGTCTAACATTAGAGAACTGACTGATTAAAGAGGGTATATCCTGCTATTGAAACTGAGGTTGAAGAAGGATAATATAGGAAGATGTTTATAAAATATTAAGTGAATAAGGCAGGTTATAAATCACTATATCACCAATATAATATGAAAAACTACATGTGTGTGCATTTATATGTCTGTGTATATGTGCATATATATGTGTATATATGTACATATGTGTTTGTGTGTATATTTGCTGTTGTTGGGTGCCATCAAGTTGGCTCCAATTCATAATAACTTTATGTACAACAAAACAAAACTTTGCCCTGTCCTGTGCCATCCTCACAATCATTGCCATATTTGAGCCCATTCTTGCAGGCACCATGTCAATCTATCTCATTGAGTTTTTCTCTCTTTTTCATTTACCCTCTATTTTACCAGGAGCTTTTGGTGGCATAGTAGTTTAAATACCCAACTGCTATCCAAAAGGTTGGTAGTTCAAACCCCCCAGCCATTCCACAGGAGAAAGGTGATTACAGCCAGGAAACCCTATAGTTTCCTAGTTCTACTCTGTCCTATAGGGTTTGGTGACCTTATGAAGCATGATGTCTGTTTTGGTTACCTGACAGGAGTATACCACAAATGGGTGGATGACTTTAACAAACAGAAGTTTATTCTCTTATAATTTTGGGGACTAGAAGTCTGAGTTCAAAGTGCCAGGCTCTAGGGACTGGGTGAAAGCCCCTCGACCTTGGGCTGCAGCTCTGCCTCTTGCTCCCAGAGGCTCTCTCTTCACTCAGACAGCTGCTGGCTGCTGGCTGCTGAGGCTGACAAACCCAAGGTCGACAAGTAAAAAGGCACAGTCCTGATTTTACCAAACCACATGGCAGGTCATCGATTCAAGTCCAGAGAGTCCCAAGATTGTCAAGAAACATGGAAGGCTGCTAAATGAAGACTCACCTATGTGCAGAGTCCAAGAATGCCATAAAGCTGGAGACCTTCCTCAAAATTGCTTCTTACATACTGGAAGCAGACCACATCCCTAAAACAGCTACTCAGCTGCTCCAGTAGATTCCACCATGGAGTTAATTACCAATCTCACCATGAGGCATAACTACCTCCAGCTGCCCAGCCACTCAAAACCAGACCCAGCCAAACTGACATACAACCTTAACTACCACAATGCCTTTCTCCAACAATTGGTCCCTCCTGATGACATGTCCAAAATAAGTGAGACAAAATTCCATCATCCTTTCTTCTAAGGAGCATTCTGGCTGTACTTCCTCCAAGACAGATTTGTTTGTTCTGACAGTTCATAGTATACACAATGTTCTTTACCAACACAACAATTCAAATGCATCAGTTCTTCTTCAGTCTTCCTTTTTCATTGTCTGGTTTTCACATGTGTATAAGGCAATAAAAAATATCATGGCTTGGCTTGGTTCAGGAGCTGTATCTGTATCTGTATGACTAGAAATGTGTATGCCAAAATATTAAACAAAGTTATCTCTGAGTGGTGGCATGGCAGGTGATTAAAACTTTCTTCTTTGCGCTTTTCTGTGTTTTCCAAAACCTCTACAATAGACCCATGCATATTACTTTCTTTTTAGAAAACCAAATGTATTTTGACAAGATACAGACTATGTATAGATTTGACATAAATTATAAGACTACCTAATGTCAAGATCACACATATTAACCAATAGATCATTCCTGACCATAGATTTGTGAAAAATGAACTGCTCTTACATTCCTTCACACATCGTTTCATTTTTTTCTTAATAAGCTTTTTATTTTTGACTGAGCATAGAGTTACAGAAAAGTTGCAAAGATAGTATAGTTACCTAATACCACTCACCTAGTTTCCCTATTATTAATATCTTATATAACCATGGTTTATTTGTCAAAATTAGGAAACCAACATTTTACTATTAACTAAGCTTCAGACTCTATTGGGATTTCACCAGTTTTTCCATCCACATCCTCTTTCTGTTCCAGGGCCCAATCCAGATCGCATTTACTTGTCATATCTCTTAAGTGATAGTTCTTCAGTCTGTCCTTGTTTTTCATGTCCCCTGTATTAATTTTGTAACCAGAAAAAGAAAGATTTGATTTTTTTTTTTTTTTTAAAGAGTAACTTCTTCCTCTTTATTTCAGTGATAGGCAAGTAGTCTGACTTTTTCTTTCTCTGTTCACCAGGACAAACAGGAGAAAGTGGTGTACCAGGTCTGGACGCGATCCACTGAGGTTGGGGAGCCTTGAGACCTTCCTCGCTGCCAGCTCTTCTTTCTTTCCACGGCTATCAGCCACCTCAACGCAGAGAGCTCCCTGGGTCCCGGGCTCCCGCTGAGCGCCTGATCCAGATGAGCCCAGCCACCGCCCCTTAGGGGTTGAGCTAGCGCACGGAGCCACACGTGGATTAACTGTTCAGCAACCGGATGCTGGCCGTCCCGCCTCCAGCCCGCGTCTTATAAGCCCCTTTGGCCCTCGGAGCGTCCGAGAGGTTCACTGACAGCCTGGCCAGGCGCACTCTGCAGCATGGTCTGGAACACTAACCTCCGTTGGCGACTGCCGCTCATTTGCTTCTTCCTGGAGGTGGCCTTGGTGGTCCTCTTCGGCGTATTTGTACGCTATGATTTCGAGGCCGACGCCCACTGGCCCGAGGAGAAGAGGCACAGGAACATCGCCAGTGACTTCGAGAACGACTTCTACTATCGATACCCGAGTGAGTCCCGCGCTCCCTGGCACGCCCACCCGAGGCATCTCCGTGCCATCCCCACCTCTGCCTCCACACCTGGCTGAGGGCCCTGCCTGGCCTCACCTCCCCAGCATGCTGCTCGGGAACTGCGTGCAAGGAGGCCAGGGAGGAGACACTGCCCCCACAGCCCTCTGCCCTAGCCCCACTCCAGGCCCTCCAGCCGGGCACAATCATCAGCCTCAAGAGATCATGCGTGAGAAGTGGTAGAATGTGCACAAACTCCTTTTCCCTGTGAAAAAATAGTAAGGAAAGTTTACCAGGTGACCTTATTTGAATGCCTCCCTGCAATTTGAGGCTGCTGCCATCATCATTTTTGTCAGTTCTGCCCCTCATCTGACTCGGTTTCCTCAAGAGACCAGAGTTCTACCTCCATTACCAACCAGCTGGGTGACCCTGGCTCCCTCGTCCAGTGGTGCCCCTATTATGCAAATATGGGGCAGATAGAATGTCAAGGGCTGCAGGTACAATGTCAAGGGCTACAGGGATGGCTGTTGGCCTGTCAGCCCTCCTGCAGGAGTGGTGTGTGGGACCAGGGGTGGGCCAGGAGGCCGTGACACCAGGGGTGGATAAGCAAGGTGGGTGTGGGTTTACTTGTGCTTACTTACTAATCTGTAATGAACAATTCCATACATTTTTTTCACCACATCTGCTTACTGGGTACTAGGTGCCTATCACGGATTGTAAGTTTGAGAAGAATCTTTGATTCTATAGGAAGGTGTTGTGGGGTTGGGAGAGAGAAAAATGCCAGCCATACCTAGAAGCAGAAGCTTTCATCAGTAAAAAAAAAATATGAAATTGTTCACTACAGCTTGGTAAATAAGCACAAGTGAGCCCATGTTTACTTTGCTTTTGAGATAAACTGATACTGATGGCACCCACCCTTTTTTGGCTTGGAGAGAGAGAATGAGCACCCCTGTGGGTGCTAATTGTGAATGGGAAGGGGTCTCCTGAGTTTTCTGTTATTGGTGGTACTGTGGTTAAGAGTATGGGTGCTGGAATTAACCTACAGATCACGTGGGTGGTTTTAGGCAAATGTGTTAACCTCACTAAACTTTATCTGTCAAATCTCAACTTCCTTTTCTGTCAAATGGGGATTTCATAAGACCTGCCTCACAGGGTGGAGTGAGGCTGGCATGAGATAATGTATGAAAAGCCCTGGTGCAGTAATAGAGCAATTACTAGATGAGCACCAAGCTCAGACACCATGGGACTTAGGAGCTGAAAGTGTTGGCCCAAGGTCATCCCGGTCAGCCCAGACTCCCAGCCCAGGGCTCCTTCGATGCCCTTGTGCTTTCTGATTTCCCACTCCCATTTTCTAGCAACCCATGGCATTTCTCCTAAGTGTTGCTGTTCACAGAGTGATGAACTCTCAGTTTTGGGACCCTAAGGCTCATTTCCAACAGCTACCTATACCTACAGGTGTTCCTGCCATAGATTATATTCTCAGTCATAGGATTCTCTACTGCCAGAAATAACTTCTGCTTTAGGTCCAAGTAAACAACTGCACATTCAGAATGGTGGCCCCACATGAATGAAAGACCAAGTTAAGGGGGCTGCAGACTCAATGGAAGCCAGACATATTAACTGGCTGTCAGAAAGCTAAAGCAATCACAGGCTACATTAATAAAAATAAATACATGGTACTTAGGAGAAAAGAAGGAGCTATGGTAGCCTACTTCCATAGTGATACTGCCTCGGAAACCCAAGGAGGGATCGCTATGAGTCGGGGCCGACTCGACAGCATATAACAACAACAAACAACATGGTAGTGTAGTGCCTAAGGCACTTGACTGCTAACCAGAAGGTTGGTGGTTCAAACCCGCCAGCCACTCCTCAAAAGGAAGGTTGGGCAATCTACTTCCGCAGTGATACTGCCTCAGAAACCCAAGGAGGGGTCACTATGAGTCGGGTCCGACTCGATGGCACATAACAACAACAACAACAGGAGATAAGAAGTGACAGAAAAGAGGCATGTGTCTTGTGCAGATGAGACCATAGCCTCTATTAGGCTCTACTCTGGGCCCAAGTTTTAAAAGAGATATTTACAGATGCAGCCTTGGAATTAAGATCCAGATCCACCTTTCACATTGTCGCCTCTTTACTCTGTTTGCCCTTAAACAGGACAGATGGTGAGGCAGGCAAGTTTGGGACATTCCGTTGCCTATTCTTCCCCTCCTCTCTGGCTCTTGTTTATCACTCTCCTCAGAGCTAGCCCCCCAAAAAAGCATGAGGGGTAAGGTCTCCTATGGTCACTCATAGGTGCTCTTTTGCATGGGCAGTGGAGGGCCTTGAGCCCCTATAATAGGAACTACACAACTCACCAGTTAGGGGTACAGCCCTCACTCTCCCCAGCTCCTATCACCACCCATTCATTCCTTCACACTCCATCCTCAATCATTCACTCAACAAAGCACTTATCTATAAGGTGACTATATAAAAAAACAAGCCAAACCCACTGCTGTTGAGTCAGTTCCTACTCATAGCTACCCTTTAGGGCAGAGTAGAACTTCCCCATAGGGTTTCCAAGGCTATAACTCTTTACAGAGGCAGACTGCTTCATCTTTCTCTCATGGAGTGGCTGGTAGATTTGAACCACCAACCTTTTGGTTAGCAGCCAAATGCTGTAACCACTACACCACCTAAATAAAGACATTTTTGAGAGTGAAAGGAGGTGCTATTGGTAATTTGTCAGGACCTAGGCATAAACCTAGATTCTTCCAGCAAACTGGGATTTATACTCACTCTGCACAAACAGAGTTTAATAACCTCAGTCTCTGGCCCCGAAAGGCTCCCAATTTGTTGAGTGCAGAGAGGTGCACTATGACACCCAGGGCCTCAGCAGGCTCAAGTGTTCTAGGCAAAAGTTGCTTCCAGCAGAGGAGAGCAGTGACAGCTTCCAGCAGTGGGAGAGTGAGGGGGTAGAAGCAGGGTAGCCAGGGGGCCACTGGAAGGGTGTGTTGGAGGGAATGAGTGGCTCATTGTGGCCCAAGAGTAGAGTTTGTGAAAGGGACTGGAGGGAGGTTGCTAAGGAGGGAAAGAGAGTCCCAGCAACAAAGGAGGGCTTTTCATTTCTCCTGCCACTTGTATGAGTGCTAGGGAGCTCTTAGCAGTCTGAGTAGGAAGTGATAGATGGGAGCAAGTATAGAGAGAGAACCTTGGCCTCGGCCACCCTGGCAAGGGTGGTGTGGCAGTTAAGTTTGTGTGTCAACTTGGCTGGGCCTGATTGAGTGGCTGGGCAGCTGGATGTAGTATTCCCCATGATGAGACTGGTAATCATCTCCATGATGGAATCTACTGTGAGCAGCTGAGTAAGCTGCCTTAGCGATGTGGTCTTCTTCCCGTATATAAGGTGAAGCCTTGGGGCACAGTCTCTAGCTTATGGCATGCTGAATGTAGCCGTGTCGTTGTTCAGCAGCCTGCCATGCTCTGCCGACCTTGGAAATTTCAATGGACTGAATTAATGGCCTGCCATGTGGCTTGGTAACATTGGGACTGTGCCTTTTTACTTGTCAACGTTTGGCTTGTCAGCCTCAGCAGCCAGCAGCTGAGTGAAGAAAAGCCTCTTAGCTTCAGTGAGCTGGGGGCAGGATGCAGAGCTGAACCCCAAGGTTGAGGGGCTTTCACCCAGCCCCTGGAGCCTGGCACTTTGAACTAGGACTTAAAGCCTACAAACTGTAAGATAATAAACTCCTGTTTGTTCAAGCCATCCCATTTGTGGTATATTCCTGTCAGAGTGGCACTAGGTTACCAGAACAGGTGGGAAGTAGTGGCAGCTGCAAAATGCTTACTATCTGCCAGGCCTGCCCCTTGAGCCGAACATGCATTCTCTCCATCCTCACCATCTCCTTATGTTATAACCCCCATTTTACAGATGAGGAAACTGAGGCTGGAGAAGGGAAGTGTCTTGCAAAGGTCACTCAGGAAATTGAGGGTCCAGGGTAGAAGCCCTGGGCTTCTGAGCAACACACTCCTGGGGCACTTTCCACCCTCTGATGTCACTATTCCTCTTTCTCTCTGACCCACCCTTTTCAGGACCAGTAGTTCAGAATGTTTAGATGGCTGTAGTAGGCATTGGAGGGTACATGGCCTCTTGGCCCAGATGAGTCCCCAAGACAAGTTTTTGGGCAGTTAGGTGACTCTTGGGGTGTGGGGTGAAGGTAGGTCCTTGTGGTACCTTCCTGGTCCTTGGCTCAAGGCTATTAGCACCTGCATGGGCCTCATTCCTACCCAAAGCATTAGTGGAACCCTCTGGGCATCTCCAGTTTCTAGAGAAGTAGCTGGCTGGGGCCAGGGAGGGCTCAAAGCACAGCTCTCCAGGCATGGGCCCCAGGCAGACAGCAGGCATACAACCAGTTGGGCACCCACCCAGCAGTGGCTGGAGGGAAGTTGGCTGGAGAAGGAGCCAGCAGGATCTGGGCCTGAGAAGCTTCCTAGGAGGACTGAGGCAGGAGCTGGACACATTTCCAAGAAACGACCAAGGCAGAGACTATCTAGATTTCAAATACTAGAAAGACTGTTCCATCAGGCTGAGACATCAATCAGCCTGTGCCCTCAGAAACCAGCACCTCAGAAAAAAAATAATAAAATCCACTGCCATCAAGTCCATTCCAACTCATAGCGACCCCACTGAGTTTCCGAAACAGTAAATCATTACAGAAGTAAATTGTCCAGTCTTCCTTCCACAGAGTGGCTGGTGGGTTTGCACCACCAACCTTCTAGTTAGTGGTCAGATGCCTTAGGCACTGCACCACCAGAGTGCCTTGCACCTCAGAACCACCTCCATTTAATAAAGGACTAGCTTTCAACAAGCAGACAGCAATATCTTTAACTTTAGAATTAGATACATCTGGATTCATCACTGGGGCCCCCGAGTGGCATCCATGGTTTGCCCTTAGCTACTAACCTAAAGGTTGATGGTTCAAACCCATCCAACTATGTTGTGAAAGAAAAGCCTGGCAGTCTACTTC